ATGTATATTACTTTTGAGTAACAAACAAGTCATCAAGTCTGTAATGACTGTTCGTTTTAACCAATGTGCATGATTATTCTGGCTGTCTTGAACTTGCCGAGATCCCTGAAACATTTTTTTCAAGCAGGAAAGCCCAATAATCCAACTTCTCAATAAGTTCGACGGCCATTCTTTTTTGCTTTAAAAAAAAAATACATCAAATATTGCAACTCCCAATATTTTAACATCAAGATCAATTACTCACTTGGTTTGATATCCATGTGCACCAGAGAGGTTGAGTGGATGTACTTTAGTCCCTGTGTGACCTGCACAAGCAAATCTTTCAGCTCAAGCACCGACAGGTAGCCGAGCCGTCTGTAGTTCTCTGCGATGACGTCAGACAGCGTGCCGCAGTTGCAGTACTCATTCTGGATGAGCATGTGGTCATCTTCAGCCCAGGCTGAGTAGTAGCGTACCACATGGGGATGTTGGCCCAGCACGGCATGAGCATACACCTCCCGTAAGGCATTTTGCCTGTGAAGGAGAACAGACCGTTTTAATTAGGACGTGACTGGAGCTGGTTTTTTAGTTCACATGAGTGGAGGTCAAAACTTTCCAGTAAAAGAACTTTTAGTGAGCTCCTTTAAAAACATGAAAGAGGAAACATGGGTCTCTTTGGGTATATACACATGTCTTATTACAAACACAGTAGTACAGGTAAGTTTGAATAACCCAGCCATCTTTCCACTCATCCAATTTGTATCCAATATTCACCACAAATAAATATGATCTTCTTTTGAGTAGTTTAAACAAATCCATCTACTTACTCGTCTACTGATCCCGCCAGAGGTTTCTTTGACCTCTTGATGGCATACATGCAGCCGTCAAGCCTTTTCACGCACTTGAACACAGCACCGAACTCCCCGCAGCCAATTTTCTCCAACTCGAGGAACTCTGAAGCATACCGGGACGTCATGTTGCTTTCCATCATTGTGATCCTCTGAGGGTGGGAGAGGAGTTTTAACAAAAGAAAATCTGATACAATCATTTAAATCCAACTATCAACCAGCACAAAGCTCACTTTTCCAGTCCAGTTACCACCGAAACCAACAGGTTCACCCAGCTAATAGTTTTGAGGCAATTTACATATGAAATACACATGTGAATGAGCCTTTTCTATGTGTTTAGAATAACAACGAGCATTGTGCAACATACTCGTTTTGGAATTTCCATTTAAATCTCGTTCCACCACATTTATAACTTCAACAATTACCAAATTTTCCTTTGTTGTAGATTTGTTAATTTAAAAAAAAGTTAACATGTGTGGTTCATGTTTTGTTTTTTTGGTTTTGTTTTTAACTTTTGTGGTATGTTTCACAAATTTTACATCTGTAGCTACGAATTTAAAAGGAACCAAATAAAATTTAAATAGCAGCAATCTTTTCTTAATTCCCCCCCTAATTCATTTTACTTATGTTTATTTGTGGCTTCCATCAAAAAAAAAAAAAAAAAAACATAACCAGAACAGAATTCTAGACCTTTACCTACAGATGGAAAACCATTTCTCAAAAAATATTCTCTCATTTGGTGCTCTTACTGATGGTGATGGAAAGATGTATTTAACAAGCCCAAAATACACCACACATATTTATAGAGTTTGATATCTGTGACTGAAGGCTTCAATATATGACTCACAATTTAGTCATTTATAAAACCTCCTAGAAAACACTATTCACACCCAGACAGAATAAAGAAAATTTTTCTGGTTTGCAGTGCCAGCAACACACCCCAACAATAAAATAGAGGCACTGAATCTGCCTAGAAATGACAAGAACATCTAAATACCTTAGATGGTGGCACCACTTCCTCCTCTCCTTCACCGTCACTCGCCTCCATGTCTTCTCCACAGGAGCTACAAGTTTAAAGATAAAGAATAATGTGGGTTAGCATTCTGTACAGCAGGGGGCAGCACTGAGGACTCCAAGAGCACATGGCAGAGTTCAGTGAGGTCGTGGTAAACCTCGGGCCTTATACTGCCAAATGTTTAGATATTCTGAAAGTGCTGAAGGAAACAGGTAAAGTTTAATACAGGTCTACAAAATCGGCTACTACATTGTGTGTTTAACGATTGTTGCATAGCTGTATTAACATTAAGGTAATTAAAGACTAGCTGTTATGGCTGGGAAATCTGGAACAAAATCATTGACAGCAGTTTATCGACTCCAGCAGCCACATTTCAACTACAATAACGTGTAACACGGGGTTTTTGAGGACTGATCTAAAGATGCAAGATATAAAGTTATGAGCTTACTCATTCCAGTGTGCTCGCTTTCTGTTGATTCTCTGCTGTGTGGCAGACTGAATGAGGAGGGAGTCAGGGGTGAAGGGGTTAAAGTTGACCAGGGGGGTCTGCTGTCTCTTGCCACTGTCAATAAGTGACTTTCCTGAAACGTCCACTTTCTTGAATAAGGAAACTCTCCTGCTGGAGGACCCTGGGCCTGAGCTTCTAGCTCTGGACAATAAACTCTGCAAAAGTCAGTTTTAGAGATGAGTGAATAACAGCAGAAGGACTAAAAACACCAATAAAAACCATCTGTTTCAACCAAAATGCGTATAAAATAAGCTAAGAACAATAACTGGTATTTATAATGTAACGGTACTTTAAATTAAATGCTCACTCGTTGATAGACATGCCCAGACATACAACTGTTTGGATGACTATAACGTTATGCAATAAGTACAGTTATACATTAAGTGGGTCAGTGGGTGATTAACGGACTCTCCAGGAGTTCAAAAATTTGAATCAGTGTGTTTGCTAAAAGGCCTGATCTCTTTCCACTTTTAGGCCCGAAAAGACAGAAAAGATCGAAGCAGTAAGTTAAACTACAGAGACAAGACAAGAAAGTGCACTCAAATGTTCGGTTTTGAAAGAGTCTGATTATGAATAATGTCTCAAAAATTAAATTACATTTACCTTTGGTGTGTGCGGTGTGTCAAAAAGCCGCAGTTTCTTGAAGGTTTTGTGCGGGGGGGTGTCTGGACAGTCCGGGATCGGGGAGCTGGATCCCCCCCCGTCGTCCGGAGATCCGGGACGACAGGGAGACCCTCCAAACAGCCGAGAGTTTTTCCGAGGGGATGGCGAGCAGTTGGCAAATATAACACTGCTGGGTGACTGCAGGTGAGTTGGGGATCCAAAACTCTCCTCCTCGTCCCATAGCTCCACGTCTTCGTCCCCACCGGACTGATTCAGGGGGCTGCTGCTCCCGTCCAGGCATTTATCGGCGATGATCCGTCGCACTGGCATCGGGGAATCCATCTCCGTGAAGCCAGACTCCCCCCCTGTGCTGTTATTGATGTCCTCGATGAGGTCGTCCTCTCCGTCGCTGCATGTGAACTGTAATTTCTGACGGATTGGCCGACTTTTGGGAGAAGGTGATCCGTGCCGATGGCGGCTGTAGCTCGACATTTTCAGGATTTAAAACCCGGCTTCGTTGACGCCGTAAAAAAACAAAAAAACCCCAAAACTGAAAAGCACGCGGCGGATCCACAGCACCGCTGAAATGACGGGTTTTTTTTAATGAGATACAACACTTCTAATTGCCTCAAATTAAAGGTACTGATCCAAAAGTCTGAAAAGAACGACTTTTACCTTCAGAAGCTTCGCCTACAAAGTTAACGTGTTTGCTGAATCTCACACGCCCATCCAACGCTGAAAAATGGCCCCGAGAACAACGTCCGAAGTTGAGCTGATATTGAATTAATTCCGAAAAATAAAGCCCCCACCCGACGGATGTGAGTGTCCGTCACTACCTTCTTGACGGCTCGCTGACAGAGAAACACGTCTTTCCACAATTAAACCATTCCAATGTTTACAAAAAGTTTGAATGAGTCAACTACCAACTCCTTCCTATCACGCGCGTGGGAAAGGACTTCCCGCGACCGTTGGTCACATGCCATGCGCAGCCAATCACATCTCGTCCCTAAATTTTGAAAGATGGGCGTTCAGTGTGGTTTCGGGAGACGTTACGTCATGAATAGCAAAGCAACAATCTGGCGCGAACGCGTGCCTTTACACGCTGACCGAGACGCGACCATTAAGGACAATTTATTCAGGCGGAAAGAGATCAAAGACGCCGCGATAGATAAAGATCAAGTAAACCCTTAACATAAACACCCACCCGTTATATACAAGTTATGCGAGTTAGTATGTTTATAGTAGTTAGTAAGTTTATTGACAAAGTTTTTTCAATAAATGCTTAATAATTCAAATATCTGAAACTGTCATTAAAAGTTTACATTTTTGAAAATAAATTAATGTTTAATCATTTTGAAAAGGGCTCAAGTTGATTAAGTGATTTATGAAAAAAAGCAGAAAAATATATTGTTGTATGAGGATTCTATGGCAGATTTTGTGCACGAAGGAACGGAGTATGGGAGACACGTAAAAGACACTAGATTTTTAAAAAAAAGGCTAAAAGAAGATTTTGTGCAAAAATCCCTTTCCCAACTTCTTCATGCAGTACCAGTTTCTCTCTTGGCACCCTATTGTCTGCTTTATCTACATCCACAAAGACAGTGAAACTCTTTCTGACCTAGGGTCCATCAACAGTCTTGAAGCAAACAGCACATCTATAGTGTGCTTTCTCAGAATGAAGCCTAACTTAGACATTTTTTTCACACATCTTCATGGTATGGCTCATCAACTTTATTCCCGTGTAGTTACTACAGTTCTGCTCTTTGAAAATCAGCACCAGTACACTTCTTCTCCATTCCTCAGGGTAGTTGAAAAAGTTTTCCATGTACTGTAATGTGTTTGCACAATGCTCTTTTTAACTATTCTGGATCTTTTTTTATTGTGCTTGTCATTCATATCTTTCTGTAATCTTTTATAAAAATTTTGTGTTATACAGTTTCCCTTTGTCCTCTAGGTATTTTTAACTTCTCAATGGAGCAAGGTTGAAATGAGACAAAGTTATTAAGCACGTGGGTGTTGAAAATCAACTGCAGTCACACAATCACACTTTTTGTTGTTTGTTTTTTTTATTAGAAATAGCATTAGCTGTACACTGCAGTACTGTGCACCATAAACATTAGAAAGCCCCCCCCTCCCCACCCCCCTCATCCTCTCACATTTTATGTAGAGGGACAAAATAGCACACCAGAACTCCAGTTATCAAAATTCTATGTACACATAAAAGCTAAATTCTTTTGTGGAAAAACATTGAGGAAGACTCATGATTTCTCCCACTGACATAGTCCATTTGAAATTAGTCTTAATTCATAATCACTGTCCTTATCGATCAATCATCCAGGCCTGGTGACTCTCCTTGCTGTATTCTTGATGCTATTCTGATGGCTTCCTCCAGCGAAGGCTGATCACTAAGCTATAAAAAAGAGAGAGGAAAACAATGCAAACAATATTGACATTTTGATGACCACAGGTGAGCAGTACTAGAATTAGCACATACAAGGTTTTGGTCCCTTCAAAATAAAGGCGCACATATTAAAGTGCTGTAATCCCTTGAGCATGAATATCCTTCAAAGTACTTCAGAGAGTTAGCACTTTAATTGCAACTTAAATAAAGGAGCTAAAATAAAAGTTGTGTCAATGTCTAAACACATATGGAAGTAAATGCATTCATACTCCCAACCCTCTCAAAAACAATACCACCACCATTGCCCAACAGGCTGCTTGAGGATGACTGTCACATGACGGAAAAGATGCAAAATAAGCCTTTGCTAAATCATTAACATAACAGAAACAGTGCAATTTGTTAAATAAAGACAGTGGAGGGAAATAAAAAGGTTGTTAGCCCTTTGATGTAATTATAATACCCTTAAGGGTTTGGCCTTGATAGTAAATTAAGCATGATACTCTAATACATAGCTTAAAAAAGGTATTTTAAGTGGATAAATGTTAGTGAATTTATTAGATAAACATAAAGATAACATCTGCACTTTAACAAATAAATCATTCTCCCATATGTAGAGGCATTTTAAAAAAAAAACCCAAACCCTTTACTTTCCATAATAAGATTGTGTGTCAATGAAAAACAAACAATTATTTACAACGCTGGTTTTCTTTTTTGCATAACAAGTTAGCAGTCACCATGAATTTGAATAACATCCATACTAAGTTTTGGTTTGATCCTGAATTGACTGAACCAGTAAGAGGACAACAGCACACCTACCACTCCTGAGATGAACCCCACCTGCTCATTATATTTACAAAAGCCTTTAGGCAAACATATTTTCAGGGTGGGGCCTCTGTACTACAGAGCCTGTTCCAACCAGACTTAAAGATGTAACATTTTCCAAATTTTTCCTTTATCTTCTTCTTAAAGTGAACTAAATACATTTAATGACTGGAACTCGGTCCCTCTGATGATCTTTACCAACCTGTACAGCGATGTGTGTGCCGTTGGATGTGGCCAGTAATGTGACAGGATGAATATCATCTTGCTCTTGGCTGTAACCTGCCTCCTCCACAGTTTGGAATGAAGCCATGTCAGGTGTCATGATGGCCACCTGGGGACGACAAAAACGCTGTACTCAAATTACAGCTTAATTTTTGAGCCACAAATATATTTTTAAAACACATCTGATTCCATCATGGAAGTTTACCAGAAAACCGAATAAATAATAAATTAAAATTGAAAACCTGATTTAAAAAAAATACTAAAAATAAAAGCAGCTGATCTTTCTTAAGTTACTTTTATAATATATAGACTTGATTTTCAGCTCAGTTATTTAAGCTGAATACAACGCCACACTGAAGCCCTCTAAATAGAAAAAAAGCCCTTCACATTATTCTGAGTGCAGTCTACTGAGCTATGAGAGTTGTTTACCTGTTCATCTGAGCCATCTGTTGTTACCATGGTGACTGAGTGAGCACCCTGAGTTGTCAGCTCATGGGCTGGGATAGTTATGGTTGTGCCTTCTTGGGTTACCATGGTAATTGTGCCACCCATAGCTTGAAGGTCTGCCTCGGAGATACTGACCTGAAAGAGAAAAGAACATTGAGTCTGAATTACACTCTGACAACTTCAGATTGCATCCTTTAGCCAGGTCAAAGTCCCACTGAGATTAGAAATCGTCTTTTCAATAGTAGACAAACAGTCATGAGACTTTGCAGCTGTGACTTGAAACAAAAAAGCATAAAAAAGCAACTTTATTGCTATAAAAATATAAATTAAAAAGACAATTTATTACGTGGGAAAATTCTGAAATGCTAATGATGGTTGATGTGCCCTTCCCTCAAAAACCTAATGAACACTCAAACTAGGAAACATATCAGCCAGCTGTCTAGTTGCGCTGACAAGTATGAACAATAGAAGTTCACAACAGTTTCAGCTATGTGATTACTGCCAACTAACAGCAACTGACAGTTCAAATGATGGATTTAGTAATTTGTCACTACATTGTTTGTAAAGACCATTTTCACCAGAGCTGTTTTGGTCATGTGACACCGAACGTAAAGAGTGAGAGGTCAGTCTGCTCAGCGTCTAACCATTTGTCAATTACTAGTTGTTAGCCAATTACCATCCTGGGCTTCCCTCCTTCCTGACTCGTAGAAGAAATGAATTTTATGTTTTATTTAACATGACTTGACATTGGTGATTGATCCCACAAACATTAGGAAAATGTTTACAATAGTCAGGGCAGAAGGTCGCTTTCCCTATATAGTTTTCAGGGATCAGATGTCATTTTGCAGTCATGGCTATTGCCACTGGTGACCATTATAATGAATGTAGTTTTAAGGGATTTCTGAGGCGTTTGCTTCACATACGGTATATGATGAGCATCCTCGCTTCTTCTTCTTCTTCTTATTGTTATTTGCAATATGTTTATAGTCATGATGTCGTTGTATTCTCTTACCTGTTGTTGTGTTCCATCTTCCTGTGTTACCAGGGCAACATGCTGCGGACCAACCATGTCGGAGCTTTCCACTGGAACCGGCTCTGATCCGGAGTCATCTGCCTCCACTACAGCTGTCGTGTAGCTCACACTGGGGTCATCGATGGCATCTGAATTGACATTAAGGATTCATTAGAATTTTGTAAGTTAATAAATAGACAGTTTTATCTGAACTATTGTTAACATCTGTTTCCATTCTAAATTCCTACATCCCTCACAGACTTCAAAAAGAAAAAAAAAAGAGGCATTTTGAGAGGCCCCTTCACTGTCCACTTTTAAAACACACGTTAAAACCCATTTTTATTCTTTGGCTTTTGACCGTAGTGAGACTGAGTTTCTCTTTTAATTAAATTATTTATTAACTAACAAATTAATTATTATTATTGGGTTTTTTTGGCTTTTATTTATATCTTATGTGATTGTATTATTTCGTTCTAATGTACAGCACTTTGTGTCAGCTGTGGTTGTTTTTAAAGTGCTTTATAAAGCTATAAAGCTGTTATAAAGCTGTTTTGTTACATTTTACTGACCTGTTGGGGGTTCAAAGTAGGCTTCCTGCTCCTCTTCAATGGGCTCGGTGTCGTTGTGCGCTGTTCTTTTGTGCATGGCAAGTGTGGAAATCTGCTTGTAGGTTTTCCCACAATGATTGCAGTTGTAAGGTTTACAGGGCGTATGAACAACATGGTGTTTGTAAAGGCTGGAGTATTCTGTGAAGCGTTTTTCACACCCAGGCACTGTGCACACATACGGCTTCTCACCTGAAGTGGAAAAAACAGTAAGACAATGAGCTTTTGACTTCATTTATTAAACTGCAAGAGAAGTGAAGACCCCCATTTTTATTGGTGTGTTGTTTCAGCACTCAAGAATTAATATGTGCTTTACTTTTACATCATGTTTTCTTTATATGTAAGATCACAATGTAGTGAAGAACAGTGAACAGAGGGATTGTTCCCAGATATAGTTTACTAGCTTATTTCCATCTGCACATATATTCAACATTAGAGCTAGCATTAAGCTATGAAATCCAAATACATATCCTATATAGAAGACCAGTAAAAGGATTAAATGTCCACAAAAAGACTAAAAATCTAGATATTCTATAGATATTCTAGATAGTTTTAAAAATACATAAAAAATAATGTTGGTTTGTTCTTCCTAGTAAAACAGAGTTTTTCAAACTTCAGTGTTAGACATGATGATTTAAGCTATCTTGAAACTTTATCAATTAACAGCTTAAAAGCTTTTTGCACAGCTTCTGTGGAAAAAAAAACTGTGCTGAGATCCAGGGGTTCAACTGGAGAGCACTTAGTGACTCACAACGACTCAGCAAGCTGAGTCATTATAAAATACCGAAGACTCACCAGTGTGAATTCGCATATGATTCTTGTAGTTAGTGGCACTGGCAAATGACCGTCCACAGCTTGGTTCAGAGCAGTAGTATGGCCGTTCTCCGGTGTGTGTTCGGATGTGAACTTTACGGATATTAGAGGTGGTAAATGACCTGCCGCAGCCTTCAACTGGGCATTTAAAAGGCTTCTCTCCTGCAAAACATGAAGTATGTCAACCCTGCAGCTTGAAATCTATAGAATTGTAAACCTGACAGAAATAGGACACAACACTGTAAGCAGCTGTTTAACATGACTAATGCTGGTATGAAACTAGCCTTCAGGCCTTTATAAATAACCAGTGTGATTCCAACTGCAAAATGTCTGCTGTGTTTTAAAAAACAAGCAGGAGGAACTTGGCGTCATGCTTCTCGTGATGACCATGTGCCTGTGCTCCTGCTGCACTATGGTGGCTTTGAAAAATTTCAGCTCCCCTCATCTGTTGTTCAGGATTGGCTGAACAACTTGACACAACCCCCTCAAGTTGTTCAGCCAATCCTAGCTCTTCACCACCATGTGTTGTTTGTTTAAAAAAGACAATGCTGTGTGGCTAGTTAGTTCAATCCATTTTGATTCCAAACACTCCTTAAACAGCCCTTCTGTATTAACAGCCCTGAAGTAATGTAGCTTTTACCAGCAGTAGCAAACAACAGTTAATCTCCTGGGTTTGTTTACAAACCTTATCAGGCTTATTGAGTGTTGCAACAACATTGTGACTTGTCAGTGAGTTTCTGGGTGTGGTTGTTTACCTGTATGTGTCCTTGTGTGCTTTTGAAGGTCTCCAGAGGTTTTGAAGGACTTGCAGCAGTTTAACTCCTGACATCTGTATGGCTTCTCCCCCGTGTGTGTGCGCGAGTGACTCTTCAGTCCATAGCCTTAAAGGATCACACAATTTGACATTCAGCTAAATTATTATTCCATGCCTACAAGCAGCCTATTCCATATTTATACTGATCTCAGATATGGTCTTACATTTAACAGCAAGAGTTTTTTCCACCTCAAAAGAGACCTTTAGGGATCTCTTTCAATATACTGTTTTATATTACAATATAACATAACAGGCAACTGTTGTTGTGATTTGGTGCTCTATAAAAAGAATAGAATTTAATTGAATGGGGTTGACTAAACTTGTGTTTACAAGTGGTAATTAAGGCAGTTTGTCTGGGGCGCTTTACTTAAGAGTCTGCATTTTCCACACATTTCAAGTCATTTGATAAACAAAAAATGTATTTTTTGCAAGTAAATTAAATCCCACTCAATTACAGCCTTCATTAAAAAAAGAAAAAAATAACTTACTTACACAGTAATAACCTGACTAGTTCAATTGTCAACATCACTATGGTGATAATGAGATTTAATCAAGGGTTTAAAAAATTAAATTTGACAAAAAAAAATAAAAGAAATTAGCCATGAGTCAATTTGTAAAATTATATTATCCGTTGCTACCTGTTGCAAACTTCTTTCCACAGTTGGGATAGTCACAGATGTACGGTTTGTCTCCAGTGTGGGAACGCTCATGTACCTGCAGGACACAAACAAAACTGTAAAGCATTGCATTTCAGTAAATGGCAAAATCTTACAAAATGTTATCTTTAAATAATCTACACTTGAGGAGGCAGAAAAAAAAAAACTTTTTAGAAAAACAAAGCACCCACACTTACCTTAAGATGGTGGGCAGTGGTGTACAGCTTTCCACAGCCTTCATATTCACAGCGAAAGGACTTTTCCCCAACATTTGAGACCCTTCCTGGCCTGTTGTCTTGTCCCTGTAACACAATCTGAAAGACGAGGCACAATTATGTATTCAATGTTAGACTTAACGTAAAGAAAAAAAAAGAGAAATAAATAAAAAGAAACATTACCCGCATGTGGACACCATTGTCTGCTTCAACTCTGCCAAAGGTCCCCAGGGGGTTCTCTATATTCTCCACCTTTGAGGGAAAAGAAAGATTATTTTAATATCTACTGGATGATCATAAATATATTAAACCAAGGGATATGAAATATGAAACTATAAGATTTAAAATTGATAAACCATTATTACAGCAAAAATGGAACATTCAAAACAGGCAACTTTATATAACCTATGAATAAGATAATATTTAATCTCATATTCACAAGTGACCATCTTGCCAAGATAACGAGATAATAACTTTTTACACAAGCCAATTACATGTGCGCAGAACACAATGGTATTAGTGATTTTCTTTTACCTAAAAATATTGTGTGACATGATAAAATGCCACTACGTTGCAAGCTCATATCAATACTACTCTTTGCATCCTCACTGTTACACCTGTCTGCCTCTTACTCACACACGTGTTCTGTCTCGCTTCTACTGACATTCATTCCTCTTCTCTCCAGTACACTCCACCTCTCCGAGCTCTTCCACCTGCTCCCTACTCTCATTACAGATCATAGTGTCATCTGTAAACATCACAGACCACAGAGCCTTCTGCGTGACCATCACCTTTCCAAACAGGAAGGGCCTCAGATGGTACCACCCCACCCCCATCCTTGAATCCACCTGTCACTTATACTGCATACCCCACCACTTTCTCGCTGTCATAATTCTGTGTCAACACACACACACACACACACACACACACACACACACACACACAAAATGTAGAGCTGGTACCACACCAGTTCAAAGACAAAGCACATGTACCTTAGTGGTATACTGTTCCAGTACGCTGATGGTCTCTGGGTCAATAGCTGCCGCCTCCGCCTGCAGGTCTGCGATGGTGCCATCAGCCTGGATTGCCAGGATGGTGTTGGACTGGGGCATGTGCACAGTGTGCTGAATGTAGGCGGTGCTCCCATCCTCCAGCTGTACCTCCTGCAGGCCACCCTGATCATATGTTTCTGCACAGAAATTAGGAGAAGGACGCAGAAACTGAAACTCACTGATGAAACTGAGCTTTGTTCCAGTAAAAATCAAAAAGTTTGGGGAGGGAAATAATAGTTTCATGTATGTCTGGACCCAAACTTAATGCTTCTTTGTGGTAAAATCCCTCACCTTAAGAGTTTTTATTTATAAATGTTTTGTACATTTTCTAGTCCAACACTAACATTTATGTAACCATTTTTAATTCCCATGAATAAACAACAACTGTTTTTTAAAAAAGAAGATACACATGCACATGAACATTTTTTAATGTCTGTGAACTTGCAGCTTAGCCAAACTCTGCAAAAAAATTTATTAAAATTTATAAAAAAGAGTAAAGGATAATAAAGGATAAGCAGATGTTTTTTGACTATTTTCTTTTACTGATGCACAATAAATGAAACATTAAAATAATCTAACTAAATAGATGAAAGATGCTTAAAAAATTAGAAATTAAATTCAGTTTGATTAGGTGCTATTTACCTTTGGGTGTGTGAATATAGGCGGTTGTTCCGTCTTCTAACTGAACAGCCTGTCCATCTTCAAGCTGTAAACTGCCCCCCCCTAAAAATGCATTAAAAATAAACATTACTCACATTCACTTCTTCATTAGTGTGTTCTTGGTTAGCTACTAGTGGTCAAAGGAGCTTGCAAAGAAAAGAAAGAAAAGCTACTAGTGAGCTTTTGTTACATAATATAGATGACATGCAATTAAATTACAGCCTTGCACTGTGCCACAAACACAGTACACAAAGAATAAGCTCTACTCTGCTATTGGTATTACAATATTTCCATTTTATTTACCCGCTTTAGGCATGGGCACATGCTGAACATAGGCAGCAGAGCCATCCTCCAGCTGGATAACTTGGCCGTCCATAATCTGTCCATCTGAAAAGGAACCTTTGGTGTCATGCTGGATATATGCAGTGGATCCATCCGCAAGTGTAACAGCCTGCAGACTCACTGTGTCCATACTCTCCATCTGATCTGCATCTGGGAAATAAGAGAGTAGTAAAACATAGACTTTTAGTTTAAGGAGTAATGGAGTAGATCGTCACAAAATGAAACAACAGGACTGCGATGTGATGCACTTTGTCCCAGCTAATACCCGATTACTTCTGGACACCGTTTTGCCATCCTCAACCAAAACTTGGACTGAAATTCAAATGTGATTAGATGTACTGTTCTGCAGTGATGTCAGTAAATTTTTTTGTAACAATAGAAAGTTTAAAGGCTCACCTCCCACTGTCACAGCCTCTGCTAGACAGAGTGTGACCGGCTGCCCATCTGCATCATGAAACTCTGCCATTCCCTGGGAGTCCCGGTTTATCTGGGCCAAGAGCATTCTTTAGCTGCTGCAGGGGAAACAGACAAGACACTCAAATGAAATTCATACTGACACAGGCACCGAAAATGCAGATACTGTGCAGTTATTTGATAACTGGACGTCACCATTAAGAATCTTACTTAATGTTGTTGCTGTTGCAGTGCAACCCAATCATCACTATTCCTCCAATATGTGAAATACATACATATATAAATGTTTTTTTCAGTGTCTAAACATACTCAGTAAATACAACCAACAAACTGGCAAACAACCATACAACTGCATAGAAATAATGTGTTATAACTTAGTTTTGATTTACTAGAATGACCTAACCTAAGTGTGGAACAAAATAAGTTAAGTGAAAGAGTAAAACAAAAATAGATTTTTTTTATAAACAAAAATTAACTTGAGATTTTCTGCACTACATGATTTTTTTTGTTTTGCCAGTTTCAGCATGGTAACATGTGTGAACACATACAACATTAGCACATATTTACCTGCGAAGTGAGTCAAGTTTGTTTATGAAATGTCTGCAACATATATTTCTTATTCTAAGCTCAGCCCCAGACAAATACCCCTCATTCAAACTAAAGATACAACACTTGTGAAATTGGAGCCAATGTAACAACCTGCTTCATATCAGGCTTCATAGTTAATCTATTTCTATTGACTCAATGGAATTGATACCAGTGTTAGGTGTTTGCATTGTTGTATTCATTTTCTTTTTTGTACCAAGGAAACAAAGTAATCTCATATATTTTGTTTATTTTATCGTCATAAAAAAATAAACAAAATTTCAAATCTTCATCACACCTTTTAACATTTATTACGTGGAAAATTTATGTTGCATAAAAGATAAACATCTGTAAATGTCATGTGTTTGCCAATAGGTGATATGAGTCAATAAGGCCGATACTGGTTGATAACATTGTTCAGCTGATATATTACAACATCTCTAACAAAAAGTGAACCGAAACGAACAAACTAACTCTGGAAGTTAAGTGAACAGAAAATCTAACACGAATACAAAATAAAAATGTAAAGAAATCCCTACAACTCTGGTGACATATTGTGGATATTAAACGCAGAAAGAAGAAGCATATTAAGATTCGTTATAACGTTTTTCTGACTTGCTCTGTTTTCAAGTTCAAGTCATAAACATGACATCACTTATTATAATAGTTAATTATTAAACTATAATAAACCAGTCTAACAGCTCTGCTCAGCTCACATTTGATAATTCAATCTTTTACTAGTGTCTTATCACTAGAGCTTTTTCCCCTTAACAGCTGAAGAGTTATTATTTTTTGACCTTACGTTAATTATAAGCATATAATCTCACAGCTGATGTGCTTTTGGCGCTTGTTGATTTGGACTCAATACTTGGAGCTAGCTACTTACGATGTAGCACAACTATGACTTGCCACATTAGTCAAGTCTGTTGTATATCAAACAAGTGTATTTAACCGGCTTTGGCATCCCAGGATTCAGTTATCACACTGACAGCGTGTCTAAACGCTGAGTTGACGACTACAGCCACAGAAACATGCCGTAATGGAGTAAGCTTGATAGCCGCTTCGTAGGCTAACAACATTGCTAACTATGACAAGCAGCGCTGTCACGACTTTCACAGCGGTTGTTGGCGAACTGTTTCTCGATGACTGCGGTTATCGAGATCACAGAGACTTCGAAATGATTTGGTGAAGTCTAAAAGGGCTCTGGAATGACAAACGGAGGGCTAGCTAACTCACGCCATACAGCTTCCCGTTTGACTAACGAGCGACGCAGTTGGAAAACAAGAGCGAGGAATCCGCGAGCTAATTAATGATAACATAAGCATTTTGGCTCGGTGGGTGTCAATTTTATTTTATGATTAAACAGCCGTCTCCCATTCTTGGACTGAATCCCCACCGCAACCTGTCACTCCCTCTCACAGAGATGGCTGAGGGAATAATGCACACTGGGTAAAAACCAATTTATATACTAACCTCCGAAAAATTTCCAACAATTCCTCCTGTTCGACCACCATGCAACAGTGCAGGAAACGGTCGGCGATGTTCACAACCCGGGAACATGTATGACAGAACTATCCTTACCGTGTTGTCCCGCCCATTCTCTATTGAGGGATTGGTCACCGACTCGCAAAGCCCGCTCCTATTGGGTTAGGCGTGTGCCTGTTACGTTCATTCGAGTCTATACTGCTGTTATTCAGCCTCCCGGGCCCCTGGCAGACGCCATTCCGCGTCCGTTTTCGCATTGTCTCGGCTTTTTGACTGTAAATGCGCTGCTACGTCGTTACAAAATAATTATTTAAGCATGAAAGGTAGACGATAGTCAGCCGACATTGTAGATTCCGAGCCACCGTGCGACACAAAATGTGGTTAAATGGGTTCGCCAGCGACATAAACTGCGCTGTGGTGGAAGAATTTTCGGCATCCATGTTGAAAACAAGGTCGTGTGGGTAAAAAAAGGGGGAATGTGGGCAATGCAGTGAAAAGAGGCTCGGTGGGATAAAATGACACATGACACTACAAACTACACCCAGGACATCAGATAATCATCTTTTAAAAGTAGCTGATACAATTTCACCTCATGAACACCTACAAAAGAAGCTGAAAAGACGTAGAGATGTAGTCCTCAGTGAGGCCAGAATGACTGTAGAAATGCAGGATTCACCTCAGGGTTGTCTAACTATTTGTATTTCATCAGATACTGCCCGATTAGATCTGAAGTTGAGCAGATTAATAACGTCATTGCATAAGAAAATCCCATCAAATGTTATAATTTCATTAAATGTAAAGAAGTACATCTGAATGAAAGTTCACCTGGTATAGGTAACTAAGATTTTAAAAATGTTCAACCATAAGCCACAGTGACAGATATCCTTTGCCCTCCCAAGTCTTCTAGATGACAGGACTGTTTACCAAAATAGATAATTAGCATTGGATATCTAAAGAAAAATCAGTTTTCAAAAATACATCTCAGTTCTTTGACATTCATTGAGTCTACTATCATTACATTTTCATTCATTAAAAGAAGAAGAATTTCATTTCATTTAAAGATCACAGGAGGAAAGGCACCAAATGTTCACATGAATCATAACTTTGTAAAAATCTAGAAATACTTAGTGACTTGGCTACAGTTTTCACACTTTGCAAAGTCATACAGTGGGCCGTGTTGGACTCTTTGGTGGGACAGATTTGGGATGTTGGAATGTTTGACAACCTTGAGTTTGACCCTGACAAAGATGCAATTAAAGTTTTAAAAAATCCAAATAGATTGATATGACAATAATAATATTGATCTATATGTCATACTGAAAAAAGAAAATAGAATTAATTAAAAAGATAAAATAATAAAGATAAAATAATAAAGTAAACAAACTGCTTAAAGTGATTGCTATGGAATGGAGAAAAACGAAATGTTAATTACACACATGCACAGAAAATAATGATTTAATTATCTGTAAGACTTTTTTTTTTACACTTTCAGTACATTTTTTCACATTATAAACTTTGACCTCAGAGCAAAAATATGGATTTGTAATGAGAAATGATTTTGTTAGTCTTGTATTATTGCTTTTAATTAAGTAAACAACTACCTTCATGATGTAAATGTAGCTCCAACTGATGTCAATAATTAGGTTTCAAACACAACCAGCTTGGGGCAGGTTTGAGCCTTCTTATCTGAAACCAACACTTATAACCTCAGAGACACGAAACAGAACAAACACGAAGGGAACGCTTCATTGTCTATTGAATTGAAATGAATTAAATGTCAGGAATACCAGTCTGTCCTGTTAGGGAGCATAAACCACTGTCTCCTGCTCAGATGCAAATGACAGTGATGGCAAAATGACAGAGGAGATGGCTTTGTGGATATGCCTCCTTTTTGGTGAAAGCAAGGGTGAGCTGCTCACTGAAAGAACATTTGGACAGTGCTGTCATATATATACATTTTTTCCCCATTTGAATAGAGAGAATAATTTTGTATTATTTGCTGTAGCCCAGTGCACGTGCTTTCTTTTTAGTGATTCATATTTTCTAACAAACAATAAAATGTTATTAAAAATAGAATTTAGAAAAAAAGGGATTTGATAAAAAGTTTTATTTCCTGTTATACCCCTTTATACCCCTCACCAAAAAGCCTTTGTTGTGCAAAACGTGAGTTAACTCTTACAGGCCTGCTGCTCATAGAGCATCACATTTTGTGCAAGTGGTTTCTCCACGTGAGAGCGTGTTATTGGAGTCACGCTGCAGCAAAGTGACGTATGTTTCCCTGTTTTCGTTCTACCTGCCTCAAGTAAAAGCAAAGTCACGCAAACATACCGAATGAGACCGGAAGCTGCTGTCAAAATAAAACCGGTGAGGATTCAGAAAGTTCTAAACAAAATTTGTCATCCCACTAAAATTTGCAAACACCCAAGAAATGCATAGGCTACATGAATATAACATATTGTGGATTATGTGCAAGCGCTATCAGTCATTATTAAACATTCAGTGCACCACAGTGTTTCTTTTACTTTTTGATGTTTGCATCTGTTTTGTTCCAGTGAATTATTGGCCCATCGTCTTTTCTGTTTTCTAATCATTTATGTTCCTTGAACATTATATGAAACACAATAAATTAATAAATAAACTTGTGGTGCGGACATATGCAGTACAGCTGATCTTTGTAAACAGTGAGCTGTAGGCACTTTAATAGACTGTAGTCTGAGTTATCTGAAGCAAATGAACATAGCTTACCAGATTCGCATTATAGCAGTTCTCAATCTTTTTCTGACATGGCACACTCAAGCAGCCAAAGGGAAAAAAATCTTACTTTTACCTGAAATATTCTTAATTCAGCATTTTGTACACAGAAATAAATTTTTTGAGTGTTTTTAAAGGTTGTACAATAAAAACATAAATTCGGGGTTGTGTTAGTGGAAGAACGAAGTAAATCCACTTTTCAGGGGTCTCAGAGTTGAGCAGTTCATGAATCTGTAATGCAGCATTAAAAACATCCATCCGTGTTCATTGCGCGATGGGCTATGCAGCGTTTGGAAAATGGGTTTTATTTTGAAAGTCCACAGCAGGATTCATTTTTACAACTTGGGCTGTCTTAACTACCTGTCATGTTACGGGGGAGTCTCCTCTTCTCAAGTGGACTTGACGCATCGGGGATTCCTCATTAGGCTCGGTTGTATGCAGGCCGTCAGAGAGCAGGGGCAACACACGCACACGCCCGCCATCATGTTTACAGGGATGCGGACAGAGAACCGCGGAGAAAAGGGGGTCCTGGATGCAGCGACTCTGAGGCAACAGAGGAGGCTGAAACAGGCGATCCAGTTCCTCCATAAGGACTCCGCTGATCTGCTTCCTTTGGATGGATTGAAGAAACTCGGGACTTCTAAGCAGGGGGTGAGCCTCATATCTAAGACCTTCCATTATTATAGTTATAGACATTATTATATAGACATTATATAGGTGATGGGGAGGAGGACCATTGCCTCTCTCTTCCTGTGTGTGTGTGTGTGTGTGTGTGTGTGTGTGTGTGTGTGTGAGAGAGAGAGAGAGAGAGAGATTTATCAATGATAAATACTCTAAAGTGAAAACCTTAATCTATATTGTTATCAGTCTGTCCATTTTCCTAACCACTTCTAGCAGGGTGGCTGGAGCACATCTCAGCTGCCACACGGTGAGAGGCAAGGTATACTCTGGAGAGACTGCCAGTCCATCACAGGGCTAAAGAGACAGACAGCTATTTAATTTGCTTCCACATTCACACCAAGGGCCAATTTAGAATCACCAATGAGCCAAACACGGATGACTCTGGATGCTGTGAAGAAACCATAACACAAAAATATGTCAAAGTCAGGCGATACAGTACTTTCTAAACTGTATACATGAGCTTAAAGATGGTCTTTATATTATAGCATTTTTAGCTCAGACTGTAGATCTGATCTTAGGCTTCGACAATACTGAGGATTTATATTCAGTAGGCGTGCTTGTGTTGTTTGTAATCTCTGTTGTAGCAGCCACACAATATTCTCCAGAAGCGCCTACTGGAGGCCAAGCTGTGCAGAGGTAGGATAAACATGTCTGGAGTAACACCAAACAATGGAGAAGTTTGTCTGAGCCATAGCCATGTAAATTCACAGGAGGATGAGGAGGATGACTTCATCCTCGTGCCCTGCAAGGTGGGTGGACGTTGGGCTACTTAAAAATTATTTTCAAGCACAAAATATCCGTGAATGGTTTGTATAAAGGATTTTTTTCTTTCTTTTTTCTCCTATCTGACATGCACCTCCCCTGTGTATACAGTGTTTAGGACAGGAAGTGAATTTGCTGATTGATACAGGTTGCAAGTTGAATCTGATGTCCTCTGCGACTGCGGAGAGATTTGGGTGAGATGTCTTCACTAATTTTTCATTTTCTTGACACCAGTTCATTTTTCAGTGTCTCCTAAGTATGTACTGCAAACACCTGCAGCATGTGAGGTGAGAACTGTTGACTTATTTTGTTTCCCTTTCAGTTTAAAAGAACTGGTCGAAGAGATCAAAATGGAGATCGATGGCTTCCCATTTCAGCGCAGGCTCTGCATCGATGGTCACATCAAGGAGCTCGGCCTGACCGTCGGACAAATCAGGATAACTTGCTCATTTGCCATAGTGGGTAAGGAAGACAACAATCGTTGCCTGAATGAAAATTATAAGAACACTTTTATATGAAGCAGTGTCATCATATTACTGTTCATCTATTACATCTATTTTCAGAAAGTAACACGCACCTCATGTCCTTGGGCAGCAAGACTTTAAAGACACTCAAGGTAAATCTTCTGCTTTGCCACCACCATCCATCACCACCATCCATCCTGGAGGGGAAACAACACAGTGATGTAAACAGATACAAGATAAAAGCTAGATGATTAACTACACTATCTAAAATGGCTCTACTATAACCAGCGCGGTTCTGTAATGTTTTGACATTTCTGTTTTTGCAGTGTGTGATCGATACAGAACAGCAGATCATGGTGATTGGGACAACTGTGAGGGAGCAGATTCATTTTGCCAAAAAGCAATTCAGTGAAGGGTAAGATGTTTTTCTCATCGTTTAGCTTTAAAAACATTTTTTTCTTGTGCAAATTATATTTATACCTTTCAAAATAAAGTATCATGCAGTTTATCATACCTACAAATTAGTATCACGAGGTGCAATCAAACATTCAAAACCTTCACAAAACTCTCATTTTTAAATTAGGGTGTAATCCACTACTTATAGAAAGTTGTGCATTGCTGGGAGTTTTTCACGCATAAAGAACCAGTGCAAAAAATATCCGTACACTGCTTATTTCAAGCACCGCATTTTGTTTTCTGGAGTAGTTTTGCATTTTCATTATTGTAGCAGTATATGGAAAACATAATAATGGTGACTTTCATTAATGTTAACCCTTGCTTACCTTTAATTATTAATTAAGTTGGCAAAGCCAGATCATCTTTGTGTAAGTCTAACCAAATCTGCCTCTTCTCCCCCAACTTTCATCTCTGCAGCTCCACAGACTTCAGAGACCTGGGTTACTAATCTTCCTACCCACCAATAAACCCACACTGACCAAAAGCAATAGGAACATTTACTCCTACAACCAGATGCCTCATTGGAGAACTTCAGATTTCTACCTTCACACAGTTTCAGTTTCTGTTTGCCGGTTTGCTTGCTGCGTTTAGAAATCCTGATGCTCCACAATGACTTCACCGATCTTAACGTTGGCAGCCGTTAAGGCAGCCGTTCTCACTCTGCAGCTGCTCGCACCTGCAGGTTAACATGTAGCGTTCTTTTAGCCCAGAGTGTGTGAGTCTCGTATTAGCAGTCGCTAGAGTAGTACGTGCTGTGCAGGTAGTTAACAGAAGCTGTAATCTCTAAGATTGTGATATAACTGTGATTTTTAGCTCTTTGTAATATCCAGCAAATTAGTATTATGCTGCCAGACATGGTATTCTACAGCCGTGGAGAACAACGGTTAGTTTGTGTAGATTAGGAGCTCAGCACAACCTATTGAATACAGATTAGACGTTTCTCTACTATATTTGATAATGTTGTAAATGTATTTTCTAGTTGAATCATGTATTTGCATTGAGGTCACTGCCTTTTAATGTTTACAGGATTGTAGTGACACTTGTGATAGGTTTTATCACCCAACGGAGGCAAAAGTGTACCACTGAATAAACAAATTAACGGTGACATTTTTGTGCCTTTGCTCATTTTTTCTCATGAGCTGTAGCACCATGAAAATCTTATCAGTGCCATTTTATCTGAGAGCCATTTATGAATGTGGGACCAGCTGAAGGTGACCTAATTAGAGTTGTTAATTAGAGGAAAAATCAAATAGAGTTAGGAGAAGAAAACTCCTGACACATCTGCAGAGATTAGTGTCATTTTTCACAACTGCTGTTTTTGTGTAGCTGTACCATAGCAACTGTAGCGTGACCTGGCCTGCCGACTGGCAGGTAAACAGGCCCTCCAGTGGTTATGAAGAGGGCCAGCTCGGGCTTGAACACCATGGAAACCGACATCAACAATGGGTTGAAGTTGTTGTCTGCAGCTGACTGTGATCGACACAAAAAATGTAGGTAATGTAATCTGTGTTTTAAATGTGTTATATTTCAATTGTAGTGACTCATGTTTGTAGCTGCTTTCTTTACTGAAGGAGGTTAATAACTGTGTGAGCTATTTTTGCGGACATAGAAAGAAATGTTTCAAGTTTCTCTCCGTATTTGAGTCAACTTGATGGAAGTAGATTTACTTAAGTCCTCTAACTTTACATTTGATTAGACTACATGCTTTTATTCCACTAAATTTATCTGATAGTATGGTGAATTTGTAGATTTGGGGTGATATTACAAAGTACAATAAAATAAGAAAATATATATATAATATTAAAAATATATATATTAAAATGTAAAAAACCCAGCAAAATATAAAGTTAGTATATACAACATATACAATATATATACAGTATATGTTCAGTATATATATAGTCACACATGAAAGTAATTAAATGAGTCCCATCTTCACCTATTGCAACATTAAAGAGATGTACACATTAGTATATCAGTTATTCCAATATGATCCAGTAATACAGACAGTTCTAAAGTTGGCCTCTTTGCATTATGACTAATTGGAATAATTATTAAAAACATAACATTAAAAAAAAAAACTGTAATTTATCTATAAATCTATCTAATTTATCTATACATTTAGAAAAGTGCGTAAGCTGATTATTGTTCACAAGATATGTAGATATTTTCATTGTTATGTGTTTTGTGATCATATGTTACATTTGGCCTAAATATAGTTCAAAGATTTTCAGGTGATTCCTCGCCCTTTCTCACTGTCTTTTTACTATTACAGTTTACAAAAAAGGCAAAAAATAAAAGAAAACTGTGTGATTCCTTCCCATTACCACAGTGTTACTATGACATCTGGACAGATGGTGACATGTGAGGCTGCACTGATACAACTACTCCTGGGAAAGCAGGGATGCAACATCACGTTTGTCCTGGAAAGCTCTGAGAACATGAGAGCTGTTCTGGGGTCAGTGAAACACCTGCTGATCCAGACGTTGCTGAATAAAGCGTCTCACAGGGACTCTCTCTTTAACATCATGAGCTTTTCAAGCAAGGTGAGGGGGATCTGAAAATTTGGGGCTTTTAATAATTTCTTTGTATATGCTCATTTCCAGGGTAGAATGGTTGTACAGCATACTATTAACTTAAAACAAGAATCAGGTGCACAAGTTTGAATTTCTTTTGGATTTTTGATCCAGTGAATTCAAACACAGGGCTTTTGATCACAGCTGCGCATGAAGTCAGTCAAGTGCAAAATTGAGTAAACTCATATAGTATACTACCTCACCTTTATATGATTTGATTTTTAAATAACTAATCACTCTTATTCTTTCCTTTTCTTCATTTTTTTTTATCTCACCCTTTTATCTCAGCTTTTAGTACTTTGAGGACATTTTTTTTAAGCTTGAGCAGAACCTCAGATTTACTGAGTCTTTCTTTCCCTTGAAGATGACCTGCTGGTCCCGCCACATGTGCTCCTGTGCTCCTGACACAGTGTACATGGCTCTGTCCTGGATTCACTCCATCAGCTCCAGCTCAGGCAGAGATCTCTTGTCTGCTCTGAGTATTGCTCTCACCGACCCTGCCTGTCATGCCGTCCACCTTCTTTTCACAGGCTTTCCTGATCAACCAGAGGCCGTGCTGAGAGCTCTTCCTGCACTGGCAGTTGGGAGGCCTGTGAACGTTTTCTACTTGCAAGATATAGGAAATAAACTGGACAGAAACACTAGGGACTATCTGCAGTCTTTCACACAGACCACAAGGGGGAGCTGTTATCTGATTCCATTCGATTTGAATGGCACGCTGGAGAAGGTATACGCGACTGAGAGTTGCTCGGTAGTTCTAAAAAAATAGGCCCCACAGTGACTGTGAGTCTGAGTATGTGTGGTTCTATTACTGCTGTCAGGTGATTCCTCTGTACGTTGTTGAGAGCCAACCATCACTGCCAAGCTTCAATCCAGCCAAGTGGTGCTGTCCCCCCACCTCTGTCACAATACCACAGCTGCACCACATATCTTCACCCCTGCTCAGGTCTAGTTGCACAATTTTTCTATCTTTTTAAATTTTGAGCATTGTTTTAACAACAATTTAACACTATAGGAGCAGTCAGAGTATTCCCAATCCTCCGGTTACCTCCTGTATCCTGTCTGGTCAAACCCTAAGCAGCCCAGAATTCTTCCCAGGATGCAGAGTCCTGGCCAGGAGAGAGCGGGATGGCCTTTACTACATGGGCACTGTCATAAAACAAATACAGGTGACACATGACTGTTGAATATTGTTTCTACTGCAGCTAATACGGGCTAATACGGGCTAATTCAGTTATTTACTCCTGCAAAAGCACAACTGTTTTAAAAATGAAACTATACATTTACAGTATTTGCTGACTTTAAGTTTAAGGGTATTCAGCCACACCACTTTTAATGTATTACCATCTGGATGAGTGCACAGGGGCACATCAGCTGCACGGAGCAGGGCTCTCATTGATGCTGACTGCTTTAATAAGCACTTTGCCCAAAAATTGTGCCCAGTGTTTTCCCAATTTTCCCATCTGTCCCAGCTGTCACAGGGTCCGTGGTGGGGTAGATCTAGGTAAGGTCGCCAATCTCTCACAAGGCTCTCCTTGTGCCATCCCATTTAAAAAGTGGCGGAAAAGGTCCTGGTGTTTAGAGGAAAAGCAGAATAAATATAGAGCATTTAATCTATTGTGGCGCAGCTTCAGTACAATCCAACAAAAACTGATCATAAAAATATAACCTGATGAGCCAAAGTTAAAAAAAAAGTTTTAGTCTCAAAGTCACTGCTCTTATCCAAAAGTCAGACTCTAACGGACTAAAAATCTAATTTTAAAAAAGGGACGAGTAAATATTTGAAGACTGTCTTCCAATTTTAGGGCTGCAGTGGAATTTGGGTGGTTGACTTTGACAATGCAGAAAGTGCAACGTTTGAGATTGCCTCCTCCCAGCGCCAGCTCGTTTGTTCACTTGACATGGTCAATGACAGCAGAGATTGCACATGCAGGTTGGCTCCTGGTGATGCTGTCCTGTCACCATGGGAACAAGATCTGAGAAGATACGGTCCAGGTCAAGTGGTGGCAGCCGCAGAACATAGAGATGGTTATGGAGGTATGGCAGAAGTCGTATATTTTATATTATAACATCATCATATGACATTCAGTGGTGTGGATATACAATCAAGGATATTTTTCTTTATAGTCAATAATTCTAATGAGAAGGTTTTCAAACGGGAGACTAGTTTCCTAAGATAAATATTCATATGATAAATCACCAATGTCTGTTCATGATCACCATCTGTAATCCACTCAAAGGGCTCACTCTTCCTTCCTGTAGGTAACGGTGTTAGAAGCCTCCGGGTGCTGATGTGGAATAGTTGTGTGTATGTGCTTCCTGAAAGTCTGCTTTTGCCCATTTCTGCTTCTCGCCATGCCAGAATAGTACGGGAGCTCCAAGCAGTCACTCACAATCAGTGCTGCAGCTGGCTTTGTGCCCCCCAGCTGTACTGCACCGACTGCTGCCATTCAGCATGTGCCTCTTGCTACTGTTCATCCTGTTTAGTTCCACCCAGTCTTGGAGCTAGCTTTGGAAAATCAGATGAACTTGATAAAACAGAGCAAGTCAAGCAGGTGGACCGCAGAGATGCAGATGTGAGGACGAGTGACCCCGAGTTGCCATCTTCCTCCTCCTCATCTCTTTCCCATGATGAGACCAGAGCATCAACTTCTCCTTCAGTGAAGATAAGAAGTAAACAACAGCGTCCTCCCTGGAGATACTGGAGAAGAACTGGACCAGAACCACAGCACAGGCAGCCAGGTGAGAATCAGACACACACTGAGTTAATAACTTCTGATCAAAAGAAAAGTGAGCAAAAAAAAAAAGAAACCTTGTGAAAAAATAGATCACAGGAAGATTCCACTTGAGATATCACATAAACAAATGGGTCCTACAGTGTTTGAGGTTAATGACACATTTACTGAGAACACTGGAGTGTTACTGTTAGAAGACAGGAAATATTGAAATTGAAGACTTAATCACATCATGTTTAAAATCCCTTGTCATCTACTTAAGTGTATGAAATTAAACATTTTAAAAGACATTGTACCTGACCTTATGTTGCCTGGTTGAATTGTTGTTTGTAAACTCATAAATAACTTGGAAAAAAATCAGTGTATTTCCATCTGCTAGTCTGTTCTTATCCAATCTTAAAAACATCCGATCCTCTTCGCCTTTTTTGGGTGTATTACTGGGGACCCCAGTAAGTGCTGTGTAGAGTGGTCCTGGTTTTTCATATTTTGATTAAATGTTATTCTGTTACCTTTATAGCAGATGCTGCTTGCTACACAGTGTGGGCGCACATGAACACATGCATGTTATTTTTGATGTATTGTAAACATAAATGCAATCCCAGTCCATTTACCCTCACGTTTTACGGTCACAAATAAGTGCAAACTTGTCTCACAAAATGTTAATAAAGATGCAACATGCTGTTTTTGATGATAGTAGTATAAAGTATGCGTTCTGATATGTGTGCAATATACGTGAGCTCAAATGGAATTTATTTTTTTGTGCAGGGAGTGCTGCTCCCAGGAGGACAACCCAACCTGTGAGTTTTAGCATCCCTGAACCACAAATTAGTGCCTCACCAAATCACAGCTCCCTGTTCCAGTCACTTCCTGGCACCAGAGGAAGAAGAGCAAACATTAGAGACATTTTGTCCACAACCAGCTTCAAACCTCGACCACCAGTGGGACTGCAGTCTCTCTGAGAACAATGTCACTATATTTACATATTATGTCAGTGTAAACTTGTGTACAGTGTACAGTGCATGTTGAAGAGCCAAACAAAAAACTGATTACAAAAATATTTTATTTCAATACACTGATGTGGTCTTAGTGCAGGTAAGAATGTGTTTAAGTGCATTACAGTAAAATAAAATGTAAACTCTTAATGCAAAAATCTATATACAAGAAGCAAGAAACAAACAAAGAGCATGTGCAATGGTCAGTTGTTATTGAAGTGACACAGGTTTGGTCAGCTGAGGGGTCAGAGGTCAAAGGTGAGGTTGACACTCTCCCCAGCTTTAACACTGACCAGCTGAGTCTGCTGCTGTGACTCTGCCACACTGGCAGTGATGGCATATGTTCCAGGTGAAAGCTCGATATAAAAGTCCTCACTGGATCCAGACACACGGTTCTGAAAGCAACAAATAAAAAGATTTTAATGCAATGATTATTTTTTACATTTTAGATGAATTAAAGTCAAACTTTTTGACAACATGTAAATAGTAAAACTCAGGCCCCCAAACTGAAATGCAAACTTGATCTATACAACTTCAAAGGAGTTTCCTGAATTCTGCTGGTACTGTCTATGCCACTGTAAAATGCTAACTTTCTGAAGCCTCCAACTCAATTTTTTGTTTCGCTTTTCCTCATGATCAAGCCACTTTTTTGGCCAACAAATTACCTACTGTAAATTGCTTAAATATAAAGCCTTAAATGTTCTGGGTTTGTCAGCCTCTGAGCTTTTCCTATTCCAAATAATCAAAAACACTCTTAACAACGCAGAAGTACTTGGTATTTGTTGCATTTCCTGGTTGGTAGCGCAGCTGATGTCTTTGCAGATGCTGGCTGTGTGTGAAACCTGGACATGTGGTTCTTTTCAATATCACTGGGCTGCGTGCAACAACCAGACTTGTAAAATCTCTGCAACAAAGACAAAAATCCACATTTTATTCTCCCAGGTCTGTAGCTGGAAGTCCACATAGAGGTGCTTTGGGACATAGTCACTAACTTTGCAATGACTAGTGGTTTGTGCCATGAACTCAGCGATTTTTGCAAAGGCATCATCAAGCTCTGTGGGATTTCTCTGGAAAAGCAAGAGATGAAAAGAGACAAGCTGATAAAAAAAACAAACAAAACAAAACTTTGAACAAAGAATTAAAAGTATTTATATTTAGATTACATTATAAGGTTATATTATTATAAATATTAAAGGTGAAAGATAAAAGCACCTCGTCAGCTATATCTGTGTCTTCATCTGCCATAGTGCGGTTTTGGGATGCAGTGCTCGCCCAGTCCACATTCCGCCTGGAGGCTCGCTGCAGCACCTCCAAGCCCAGACTGGCAGAGCGCTGCAGGGAGGACTCCAGCCAGGCTTGACTGTCCATGGGCAGGTGGAGGGAAAAAAATCAGGTGCACTTCACCCAAGGAACGGGCACAAAGAACGCTTTAAGATCGCTTTACAGGACACAAATATTGAAAAGACAAGAATTTAATTGTAAATATACCAGTCTAGTTCAAAAAATTATAATAATACAACAAAAGAATTTACCACTTACTGGGATTTTTTAAAACTAAGATGTCAAACTGCTCTGTGAATCCAGCATATCTAATAGGCATCTGATTTTTCTAATCTGATATTGAGAAAACCCTTTTTCAGCTGCTTCGTAAGAAACGCAATATGTCAAAAAACAAGTTAACAGCTCTGTTAACTTGTTTTCTGACATATTGTGTTAGGGTTAGGGTTAGGGGTCTTATTTTTGCACTGATGTACATCAGTGCAAAAATAAGACTGTGTTAACAAATTTTGGCCAGTTAACAAAGATCAATGTTTTTTTTTCCCCTCCGACAAGGTTTGAACCAACTATAATCACCATAAATGCAGTGTGGGAAACAGGAACGTATGGGACGGATATCCTAGAAACAGCGCATGCGTGCAAATTAAATCAGCTGGGCTGTCACTTCTTTCTGAAGCTACTTACTTTCAGCTGTTAAGCACAGACCCGTTTCCCTCGATGGAAGCTCAACACCGAGACGTGAAACACTTCGAAGTGCACGCCTCACATTCTAGAGCATGACGTTGTCATAGAGCACATTCTGCTTATTCCAGGAACCGTCAACAAACCTCAGGTCAGGAGACTATTCGTCTACCTGCTCTGCACGTTTAACATGTACGCAGATTACTGAATGCAAAGTTAGAGAAAACTGTGCTCCGTACACTTACGCTCTGGCTTTGACGTTTGCCTCGTTTCAGTCGCATTCACGTCACGCTTTTAGCTGCTTTCAAATGACACGGCAGGAAATCATACATATTAAAGCCCGCCCCTTAGTGGTGGAGGAAGTATTCAAATCATGAACCAGAGTGAAATTCATGCGTTTAAAATGTCTGCACAATCACGAAAATATTGCTTCAAGTCACTTGTTGTGCTGTACCTTGTTATTTTTTCTGTGCGGTTTTGTGGAAATCAAATAATGAATATTTTGATTGTGGATTAGTCTGCATTTTTGTTTCTATCAATCAGCTAGTTAATTCATATAACTTCAAATAAAAAGGAAAAGCAAATAAAAGAGCAGGACTGTCCCTAACTATCCTGAATCTGCAGTGAAATTCATAATTGAACTTCTTAAGTTCATGTTGCCATGTCTAGCACACTGCCAGTGTTTCCAAGGAAAGCTCTTAAAATGATGGACAACTTTCATGACAACAATTACTGAATTGTTTCAGCTTTGCTTGCACACAGATGCAATTGAGAAAACTTTAATATTTACTGATATTAAAGTTTTATTTTTGACAGTTTTATTCTATACATGACTTGTCAGATGCAGCATTTCGGGCCTCCAGACATAAAAAACAAGCTGTCAAGTTATATCTGGTAGTTTGTGTTGGGTATCACCACGTCCCAATAAACAAAATTCTTTTAAAGGTAGCAGTTTAAAAGCAGCTGATTAAGCACTATATAAACAAGTTCCTTAGAAATTTGAATATACATACATTTTGCCTCTAATTGGAATGATGTGACAAAAAAACATCAGGATTAACTTTCTGACCATTTCTTTAATTGTTCAATGTAGTGCTGACTTTCTGAAGCACATACGGCAAAATTTGTATTTTTTTGGTGAGTTTATATTATTATTACCAAAAGCATAGCAATACCGTTTCATTGTAAGTCATTAGAAACGACTGACTTTTGCTATATTAAAAGAACAAAACAGGAAGTCAGTGCATTTTTAAAGATTGTTCAGTCTGCAACTTGGACACTTGTCAAAAAGATTTTACAAGGACAAGACCAACAGTGCTGAGGACCCAGGTGATTTCCTCACATGAAAAAGTTTCCTCTGCTCCTCACACCTTTCAATCAAAATTAACAGCATCTCTTCAGTTTCCATGCCAATCAAATTGCAACTTGGGAGTGGGGAAAAAAAAAATACACACACACAAGTTTCCATTTATACAGTTTATTTCTGCAAAAACACACAGACAAGATCGTTATGCCATCAGCACGCAGGCTCCTCCCACTGCCTTGATCTTCTCCTCGGCCTGTCGACTGAAGAACTTGGCCTTGACAATCACAGGCTGCTTGGGCAGCTTGCCTTTGCCCAGGACTTTGTAATAGCCCTGCGAAGGAAAGCACAGATGGAGATCATTATTTTATCTGACAATACACTGTAATATTTTCTTATAAGACTAACAGCTAAAACTACGACATGTAGCCTAAGCCAAACTAAGATGAACTGATAACCACCACAAACAAAACCACACTAGTTAAGTAAAAAACGTCTGTCGACCCAACAAAACTCAAACGTTAGAAATTGGCTTGGCGAGGAAAAAGGCTGCTGTTTCAACTCTAGCCAGAGACACAAATCCCCTTTGGGGTTGCATCAGGTAGGGCTATGCCCAGTATAACTTTCTGTAAGAAGGGAGTGTGCCAACATGAGCACAATAAGCAAAATGCAGCAAAACAAAAGTCAAGTTTTAATAGACAAGAGTAACTATTCTATAAAAATGAAAGTATGTTTACAAAAAGAAATAATTTTCAATGACTGAAAACAGGAAAATTATCTGGTACAAATCCAGACTTTATAGCTCTTTAAAAATGTAAATGTCTGAGTATAATTTTGTGTAAAATGGAGGGGAAAAAAAAGAGTCCTGAAAGCAGAAAAATTAAGGAAAACCAAAAAGTCTTAAATCTGTTTTATTAGCACTATGTACACTTTTGCACCAAATTCATCATAAACCCATCCAAAAGGTTTAACTTTCCATTATGAGTGTTTCAACTTTTTAAAGGACACCTGTTCTTTAAAAAAACAAAACCAAGAAAACGGTTTCTGATGTCTGATTCCAGCTGCTCAACAAGAAAACAATCTAATTTCCTAAGGTGATACTCAATGCCAACAAGTCGACATGCCACCACCAACTCCAAGCTACAGTAGAGGAACAAGAACTCCCGTAAAGATTTGAAAGGTCCAATTATTATGACGAGAACATTTTTAATAATAGCAAGATTTAGCAATACTTACAGCGCGCACAGCATCGATGATGGGGGCGGGTCCTTCGGGCTT